AATTGATTCTAAGTAGTAAAGAGCATGTCTTTGATATATATTCACATCAGATTTACAAGTAATCTACACCAACTATCACCTTCTTTAGTTTAAAAATTCTCACTAATGCTCGTCCTCAAGCACTTTTAGCCTTATGATTTCTATTCCCCTTGCTGGCTCAGATGTAGACTCTCGTTTCCATAAATGACAGGATAGTGTAATTAGAAAACTAAGCCCATCTGAACAGTGTAATTCGTGTGAGCAATATCATATCGTTCAGATAAACTATGATTTCTAATTACACAGTCCAAACTCAATAAATGAACTAATCATTTGAAAGTTTACCACTTATTCGTTATCTGCTACCAGATTTCACGGTTTCACGTCAGTGAAGTCGACACGAAAGGTCAACCCACACTGATGACAATAAAATGGTTGCAGTATATAAGAAATCGATAGAAGTCGAAAATCTCTACTCCTGAACGATTTCATTATTCAATCATGATAAGCACCAGACCATGAATTCTCTGACTCGGTCTGAGCTGTGTGGGCAGATATAGACTCTCTGGCCGTTGTCCCCGAGACGATATGAAACAGTGGTTGAAAACCCTTAGTGAAGTGACTGGAGATCGGTCACAGTGGTGCAGATGTATTCACCACTTGATATCTTCTGAAGCCTGAGTATTCGCACTGACGTCTATATTCAAACTGTTTATTGTCTTTCACGATTTTGTCTACTCTGATATAGCCTTTTCTACCAACTTGTTCTTATTATATTACTATGATGTGTGGCAAGTTGAAACGATGCGCTTGTGTGTGAGGTTCTACATTGATTCTGTGACACTAAAATTTAGAACTGTTACCCCATCCCATAGTACAATATGGTTACTCTAAAGACTGCCTTGGTAACTGCAAAAATAACCAATTAGGTATTCCCATCTCATTTAGGGAGGTATTTTTCATTAAATAAAAAATCAGTTGACTGTTTCAGTAGTTTTTAGGGTGAACGTCAGAGTCAGCGATAGTGACACTGTTAGTCAGCACAGGCGAAGGGATAATCAAACAACTTAGCCTAGTGCTTACAAGATAGAAGCGAATGTACCCAGACCACTGATATCACTTTAGAACGATTTCGCATTATTTGTCCATAATGTGGATCAAAAATCATATGCGGTTACTTCTTTTCACTTTGATTCCTCTGTGGTTTGAGTAACCTAATTTAGTAAGTGATTTGGACATATTACTTGTAGATGTGACCGCCATTTTCCATAACCTTTTGAGAAGGCTTTAGAAGGAGTTATTCGGTCAAAAAAGGATGGCTGACATGCAGACTTTGTTGTTAAATCCATCAACAAATGCTAAGTAGCAATTGACAGTTCACACTCAGCCGTATGTGGAACTAATTTTGGAATGAAGACTCTTACTGTCCTTTCTTTTCATTGAAAATATCAATAACTTACGAATACGGTTATGCTGCTACAAGATATACAAGATATATACACATTTTCTCACTTCAAAAGTACTAACTGTGAATGATATTAACAAGACACCATTTGATAATTGTTTGGTGTTCTACACATTCGGAAATTCGACCATAAGCGCTTCATCATTATCAGACTCAACGATTTTGTTAGCACTGCTTTATTATTTTACATAGAACACAAACTTGGTACAACACGGGTACAGACAGATGTGTCGTTAAAAGTAAGGCAACAGTGGGGAGACGTAGGAAGCTACAGAAAGAATGGAAACAAAAACAGAGGTGGGCTGTTTAAGTGGTCTGAAACAGACATCCAAAGAGTCATTCAACACTTTCGTTTTACTTTCCAATAACGGAAGAAGCAAGAGGGCTCCAGCATGATTGCCTCAGCTTTCGATTCTGAGCAATGTGTGCGATCGTCTCAAGCCACTGACTTGCATGATAGCTCAGACACGATTCATGGAATCATGAGGAACTTTAACGTGCCAACTGAATGCAGCTATCCTTCATCTTAAGGTGTCACCATACACTGGGAACTTCTCTATTTCTCTAAACCAGTCCCCCCCACTCCCGCATGTGAACAGTAAGCAATATGGGAGCTTCTGGGACTGTATGCTTAATACATGTTCAAGCCACCGACGTTGGGGCTTCAAGATGACCACACAATGAATGACGATCTCCATCATGCACAAATACATGGTTCCTCACCTGATTTAATTACCCGGTGTCTCAACTAGATATGAGCAGACTTCCAGAAACACCTGTGATCTTAAACACAGTCGTCGAATATCTTCAACTCTAAGACCAGATTTGACAAGCGTAGAGTAGAACCGCCACACTAACATGTTGCTTACCCCACCTCCAACAGCAGGGTTCACGTAACAACGGCACCAGACGTGATTCAGATTGGTGCGTGCCACTCAGATCTTGAGCATACGATTGGAAACCTCATTAGTTGCATTGACATGAGCACTCCCACAGCCAACCACGATAACTTTAAACGGTCCACCAACTATGGTGAGTACAAACACAGAATCCTCCCAACCTTGTAGAAGCGCTTTGCATTTCGATAGTGCAAAGCAGATACCATACTTATGGACAGTGATCATCAACTGAATGAGTTTGATTTTAGTAGCCTGTATTTTGTCACACAGTAAAACGATATCTTCCATATACTCAAAGTTGAATAATCTTCCACATTGGTCTACATGATGTCATGTTTTCTGGTGCTGCTTGGAGAAAGTAACCGATAGGAAGCATTGTGTTATCACCAAATTGGTGCAAACGGAAGATATATCTATGAGATTTGGAAATCTCTGATTGCAAACCATTAGTGGACATGAGCTCCACAGTCTAGAATGGAGGGATGAGATCACGCTGCTCTGCTGCCTTGTGGATCAGATTTCGTGTCAAAAGTTTGCAGAATAGTCTTTCGACACAATTACCCGCATCAGACTAGGTGTGCAAAGAGTCAAAGCCTACATAAAACTTATGAATCAACATTACCAATGGACTACAAAGCGCTCATTAAATCTTTCAGGATGGAAAAGTCTTGGATGGGGAGATTTTGGTTGTCATCGCTTGTAGGCAGTATAGTTTGCATCCTTATTGCACTATAAAGACCTATATACGATGTTTATAGATCAAATTTAGGTCAGGTTGAGCAGTACTGATCCACAGTTGTTAAATGGTAACAAAAAGCAAAAAACATGTTTTACGCTTATGTCGATTTAAAGGAACTTGCTGTGCACCATATGGATATGACGGGGTGAGGAAGGAACTTGCTTACGATTAGTGAATAAAACAGCAAGCAAGAACTAATAGGAATACATTCTTTATAAAACTAGTTTGGTTTATTTATGGCTAACATCATCGTAACCGCAATCAGTACAGAAAATAGAGACATTGTGAATATCTATGCATAACGCAGTCAAAAATCTTGGTCCAAATGACTCATAATAACTTTGTTTTCACTCACCGAAAACATTTCATGGAAGGATGTAGATTTTTATGAAACGTCGGCATACATATTTTTTAAGGAACATTGAGTGAGATACATTAATCTGGATCAAAGTGTGCTCATAGTAATAACTTTTACTTTCTGTGCATATTGTGTGAAATGCACCCCCCGTTTGTGTTTATAAATGAAAACGAAAGAAAAACCCAACGAGAACTAGAGGTCTGTTTCTTTTAATCATGGATAAGTACAAGCCTAAGACGATAACTACACTTCCACATGGTTTGAAATATACATAAGCGACGGAGATGTGGCAGACATACAAGACGTTCCAGCTTTAAACGATCTAGCATCAATATATGTGTAAGAGCAGTATATCTGTTCGATGCAGATGTATAAAATGAATCAGGAGAAAAGACTCAAATCTCCAAGTAATGACTAGACTTATATGCGAACTGAGAATTTCCTTACCATTTCCCATGCCAACGCCTGACATATTTTGTTTTAAACAAGCGTACCGGTCTAAGGCATTTTGACTGCAGTGGCTCATTAATCTAGGTAGTCGACTTCCAAGCCATGGGTTCCGTTCCACTTAGCAAGGTTTAGGTTGCCGAGCAGCATCATCAGTCCTCATATTTTCGGTGTGGCTCACTGTCTTCTGCATGGTCAAGTACGTGGTCGCTTGGTGGACTTTATTTTGATTGCATTTCCAAATGCATATCGTTATGTTTATCAGCATACTCCGTAGTTACAAATCAGTGTATGTATACATTACCAGTACTCGATTAGTTTAGAAAGGACGACGAATAACTGAGACAAAATAACTCAAGAAACTAAGAACGACAGTATATACCACAATGATGGCGTAGGAATGAAGATAGACAAAAAGATTAAGAATGATTAGAACGCAAACACTTGATATGAAAACAGCTGATACTCTTTTGCTGTATATGCTGAGGTTAATTAGTGAAAATGAACTTGTGAACAACTAGGATTGGGTTCTTATGAGAATTTCCAAAACGTTGCATATGAAACTCAGATTTCCGGTGATCTACAGAACACTTCATTGAAACAGTGGTCTTTATTTCATTATCAAAATTCTATAATGCTTAAAAATATCAAAATAATGGGCTTCTCAAATTTTAATAAAACATTGTTTCATAAGCCATCACACTGACAAAAAATATGAAGTTTATAGTATTATTTACAATTCATTACAAGCTGCAAATAATGAAGTTAGACAGATTAGGCGGCAGACTGGTTATATTGCGTCGTGTTAACTAAGCGTATACCGCACATGGAACAGATACCTTTCTTGAATGCACATTGCTGGCAATAATAAGAACCCGGTTGATGAACAGTCTGAGCACATATCCTGCATCGCGGAAACGCACTAGAGTATGGACTAAAGCGATTTTTTGAACTGGTTAGTAATTTGTTCTCATTAAGTTTTCTTCCACCACTACTAACTGTGTTCCGTGCGCCCGCTTTCCAAGGGTCGGGCGTTATCACCTTTCCCAGTTTCTTCTCACCTAATAACCGAAAATCTCTTTTGATATTTAACTTACACTTTTCACAAACCATTTATAATGCTGTAAAATTGTTGTTCATAGGTTTATGGCTTGTCTGCAGTGAAATTTTATAAATGTGGAAGCAGAGTAACGGTAGGGTAGATTGACAAACACAATAGTCTGAAAATGAGGAAGGAAACGGCATCAAAAAACCTAGTGAAATGCACTAATACACACTGGTATTCTAGAAGAAGCATAATGAAGTGTAGTTTCAAAACCCATTAAAACACAAATGCGATTATTATAAGCTTTATTAGTTAAGAAATGCTAAATGTACCATGCTTCGCACTAGATTACCAGTGGACTGAATAATGAAGCTATGGTACTAAGCTACACAATAGCACTACTGTGGGTGATTGTATGGTCAGACACTCCCAAAGAATATCGTTGGTTCATAAAAGTCAATTTCTAAAACGGCTGAGGCGGGGCAACAGGTGTTGAATGTTTACAAATCACAGGGTTTTCATCGTACACAAACTACTGAACAGCTGATTTGCAGACAGAAAAATAAAGGCTGGTCAACCAACAACAGCTTTAAATGATTTTATCTAATATAATAATTGCACAATACAATGTTGTGACTACCTAATCACAACATTGCATTGCTGTTTATGAAGACGACAGATAAATGAATAAGCCTGATCGCTAGGAATTCTTTGTTTTGATGGCTGATCATTGACCTTAATCTCTTACACAAGCTATTGCCAGACACCTCTCACCTGAAATAATGTTGGATAAACGTTTATGCAATGTAACGCAATGTAGGCAAACACCTCCAACATCAAGGACAATGTCCAGTGTCCCTAGGGTCAGTCTATAAAACAAAAAATTATATGGTTTGCACGCTTAGGTCCTTCGTCTGAAACAGAATCTAGCCATTTTTACGGGCGAATACTTTCGAACAGTATACCTAAATGTTACAAAATACAAATTCGCTTTCATTGTCTCGTTTGAATAAAACATACTTTATTTAGATATCAGATGATATTAGTACTCATACCTTTAGCGTTCTTATAAGGTGAACTGCGAAGGGGAGCTATTGTTGCCCCATGATATCTGTTACAAACCACTGATGCCATACATTTAGATGAGAAGTAATCGTCAGGAGTAAGTCCCGCCTTTTTTACCTGGTAAGGACTAACAGACTTCTTTGACTTTATTTACGTCCATAGTGTCAGGTTGTGCATCCTTATTCAGTTGATATTCCACATCTTACTAACATGCAATGCAAACATTCCAGCAATTAAAATTACTTATCGCAAAGCAACTTGCAGTTTACATATAAATTCATTTGTACCCGTAGAAACTGTGTGCTTGTAAATTCCCGAACAAACATATAAATGTTCAGTCCTTTATACCTAAGCCTCACTTCCTTGGTTAGTTTTTCAGGGCAATCTTCTTTGTAAGCGAAAATGCCATCATTTCAACAGTCATGACTGTGATAGACCTGGGAACGGGCATCTACTGCTCCACGTTTCACATGTAAAAGGCAACTAAGAGCTTGTACTGCCTACGGATAACCTGAATGCCGAAAAGAAAGTGGTCATATCTGCTGAATTTTTGAATATCTTGTCCAGTAGTCGGCCTTCAGCAAATGTGGATGCAAAACATGTTTTCCCATAATGCGACTTAGTTTACCACTTGTTCCTTCAAGTTCTTTGACTTGTTACTAACCTAAATGCAAATTTTAGACGTTTGAGCTTTGAAAAATACTTCCTCCAGAGCCAGCAGCCTGTATCAAGTCGCTTTTTTGGAAGAATGTTCAGCAGCGTTTTCCGTCGGCCCACCGCCAGTTACCTTTTGTCCTTCAGGAATGTTGGAAGCCTTATATGGCTGTCCGCAACAGACCGCGGTCTTCACACTTCCGTCACAACGAAGAAGTACTACAGAGAACTTAATGTGCAGTCATTCTTGTATATATTGTAGACGTTGCCGTTGACGTTGTAAGTACACCTTCTGCTGTACTACTCCTCCGTCTAATTAAGGAGAAACTGAGTGACCGGTAAGGGTGGAACCTGAAGGTGTTTGCGCACGTGTCCTCGTATTTGGTAGATCGCACTTATATATAACTCAGGACATAATAAGTCACTGGTAACGATATACGAAACTAGGGACGGGTAAGAAATGCCAACTCTTTCGGCTGAAAAAATTCAACGCGTTGTTTACTTGCATCAGTTTCCCCCTGGTTGGTCCACTAAAGTTTCACCATGGTGTTTCGTGACCATTAACTCACTCTAGACGCGGGAGCAATGAGTGTTTTATTCTCATATTGTTAGCTTAACACAAGAGAAGCCAGTCTGCAGGCATCATCGCACTGATGTATGATGAAAAATTGTCAAGACTTTACGATACCCGAATGGTACAGAGGGCATGCCACTAAACTCTACTGAAAACGTTAGAAGACCCTGATAGTTGTGAAACAAACAAGAGAATGTCACCTTTCAGTGTATACAGAGTTTTTGGATAATAATAATTCGATAAAACTTTACGTACTTACTACTAAATATAAAGACTACAACGCCGCACTTTGCCTATGTATTCTATGAGAGGGAGGAAGTGTTGAAAATGAACTAACTAGTAAACTTTTACTTCTGACAGCAAACTAATTGATACTTTCACAGCTTTTTGTCATCCAAGCATCACGAAACTACTTGCCGCTGCGTCTAATTCTTGTGGAGTATACTTATACTGCTGTAAGAAGTAACACTTGAAGGGTGGGAAATGATTGGACATAGATATTCACTTGATCGCATGACTTACTTACTGGTTCCCGAAATCGTCAACGCACGTTCTTTTGGTCTCTGAAGCCACAGACATCAGAATTTATGGTATAGTAGACGTTTGTCTGTGGTGGCGTGGCAACATGAAAACAAGTCGAACACGTCGGCTGCCTGCGACGGAACTTGGAGTTTCGCACGACCTTAATGCTGCCTATGGTGAAAAAATTACTGAAAACGACCTAAACTTTAGCACTCCATATATGCTGTAAAGTGATATTTTCTTGTTCGTTTCACGTCTAGCGGAATCTTCTGATGTTTTAGTAAGGTTTAATAAACCCCCTTTCGCATCATTCAGGACTCCTAAAATCTTGCAAATTTTCCACTTATGTCGATGTGATGATGCCCGTAAACTGGCTCCTCTCATGCTAAATTCGTAGTGTGGGAATAAAATATTAATATACGGTGTGCCTGTTTACCTGGGTTAGCTCTGCATTTTCTAAAAAGTTGTGGATGCAGTAAATATCCTCATCTGGAAAAAACTTGGCCATTGCAATGCATGCATTAACACACAAGCACACGCTAGGGTGGAAAAAAGCCACTGTACTTAAGTCAAATATGACTGGGTGGAGAGGAAGACTGATAACTGAGCTTTTGTTCATCGAATCAAAAGGCAACACATGTAACAAATGATGGAACATCTAAACCAGAGATATGGAAAATTTTACTACCAATAAAGACAACTCATATGATGTTGATATATATTTCATACAACAAAGGCTACATGAATACAAACCAGTTTACAGGTTTGATCATTTTGGTAATGAGAAATGGCTAGTATGTACAATGTGAAGCTACACATTGGATACCGTTATTTATGGCATACAAGAGGTGTGTTGAAGCAGGCTTAGTTCGAATTTTAGGATTAATAGGTTATCGTTTGAATCTTCCAATATTCTTGAAGGTGAGGCCGCATCATGTTCATGACCTTGAGGTGTGTGCGTTCGTCATAAGGTTCTGATGGCATGGTGTACACTGGCAAATGAGATTTCTAGGATTCCATCTGAATGCTGGACTGGTTAGGTAAACCTGAAAAGTAAACAACAAAAGCGAGCAGCAGGCGAAATTCGGAACAGGAGTACAAACACACGCAGGAGTAGATCAACCATGATACTTCTGGGTGAGTTCTCTGTACTGACTGTAAAACTTACTTCAAGAAGTATCCAGAACCAACTGTTTAGAGGTAAGATTAGGTGAAAAAGGATGAAGGTGCGCACGACGTTAATGAAAATCAGTGTGAGACCGAAGATATCACTAAGAGGTAGAGAGATTAGGGGATTTTGAACCAGGTATGCACTTGTTATATACCTATGTACTAGCGTTTGATGAAGTTATAAACATTTGAGTGAAATTCATGGTTTTTTCTAAGACGGTAACCACCCTTTATCTGGTCACGGAGAGGGGATGATCATGGTATTGCCTGTTGAGTATTACCATATCGGGGCTACCGAAACAATATGTTGATGCAGAGTACTTACATGTAAGTATTGATAACAAAGGGCAAATAACAAAGCGTTGCATGCTATGAAAATGCACCGACAGACAGTTCTTTTACCTTTTCGGAGTAGAGAGATTATTTTAAGGGACGAATTTTAGGAAGTGGGTGTTAGGTCGTGAGATCAGTTAGGTTATGAAGAACTGTAGGTTACATTACAGTAGCTACTGAGTTCACTGTTGCATATCGCATCGCACTCCGCTCCCTGTTCGCTCTTGGTCATCTTTTTTTACAGAAATTAGACTTTAACTATTGCGTTAAGTTTTCGGCATTGTATACTTTTGTCATTGTTGTTAGTCTCCCTTGAGTCCGGGTACCAGTAGCACCATTGTACATGGTATTACTGTTTGTGGTTTGGCCGTCAACGAATTGTTGCGATTCGTTAGATGGGAGGAATTCACTAAGTAGTAGTTGAAGCTGGCCGAGAGAACGACGTGCTCGTATAGGAGCGGGAAGTTTGTTCCACAGCATACTGTATTGCGTTATGAAAAACCTACATCGAAGTTTTGAGCGATACTTATTTATTGGGATGATGTACTTGCTATTACGCAGGTTATATACCTGTGTTGATTTAAAAGTGATAGCACATTTCGTTTTAGAGTTTCTGAATAAAAGGAGAAAAAGAAATGTTAGGTTGAGCTTCAGGCGTCTCAGCCAGAGTGATTTCAGTCCTAGTTTTTTGCATCTTGCTTCATAAGGAAGTCCTTCGTTATGTATAAGTAGGCGCCGAGTAAAGATTCGTTGACTGTTCTCTACTTGAATTCTGTCCGATACTTCCATGTCACCATAGATAACCGTGCAGTACCCCAATATTGGGAGAACCATAGCCTTGTACAGTTTAAGTTTTGCCTCAGGTGTAAGTATGTTTCTGTGTAGAAGACCAATGAGTCTTCTGCCCTTGGAAACTACTGAGTCTGCATACTCCGTAAAAGTCAAACTTGTGGAGTAAGTGATTCCGAGGCCTTTCACAGTGTTGTATGAGGTGACATTAATATAAAAAACAGCTGTGGAAAGTGGCATGATTGCATCCATGTGATAATGAGCAATAATTTATGCTCGAAACGTCACCAGGTGAATGATCCTAGATCACTGTGTGTTACACATCAAATAAACAAATCTAATATGGAATTGAATTCCGCCACGGTGCCCAAGTTCCACACCAATATCAATGAATATTCTTATCTTACCTGTGCGATCTCTGTTTATTCCATTTTATTACGCGGACATGTAGACCATTTCTGCCTAACTGACTCTGTACGACAAGCTGAAAGCCCTGCAAAGCATGCTCATAGTATCTTCCCGGATAAGGCTGTTATTATTAACAGTAGCCTACACCATTCCTGGAAGACATGCGTTATCAGTGATTACCTGCCCGGAAATACTAAGCTTCTCGGGCTGTGAACATCACTGCAGGTGTCCCACTCCCGAAATTCCTCCTCCACACGTTCCATTACCTCATCCACTTCCCTTGAGTGTTGTGTCAAGTGACTGAGGTTTTCCTTTTCACAACGCCTAGTCTCATGAAAAATGGATTGCATTCCATGAATTCAAAGCCACAGTTGCAGCTGCGCACAGTGTTCAGTCCACTAACAACCAAACTGTGGATCGTTGCAATAGAACTGGAAGTCCTGCTTACAACCTGCATATCAACAGCTAGAAAAAACGCGCTACCACTCTACTTGTGAGCCCGC